CGGATGCGTGTGGTGAGTTTGTGCGGAGTTGCCCCCGGCGGTTCCGCCGGGCATGACGGGAGCGGGGGCCGCGGGTCACTTGGGCGGGAATGGCGAGATCACCGAGGCGGCTACCGCGGCGGCCTGCTGACTCGCCAGCACTGCCGCTGCAACACACACAGAGAGAGACAGCAGGCCATTAATGTTTGTCGTCATTCGATCTCAGGCGCCTAATACGCGCGGGTTGTTTTTTTTTTGCCGGCGGTTGTTGATTGTAGTAGTAGTAGTAGTAGTAGTAGTAGTAGTAGAGTAGTAGTAGTAGTAGTAGTAGTAGTAGTAGTAGCAGTAATAGTAGTAGTAGTAGTAGTAGTAGTAATAGTAGCAGTGGTAGTAGTAGTAGTGGTAGTAGTAATGATAGTAGTAATAGTAGTAGTGGTAGTAGTAGTAGTAATAGTTGCGGTAGTTGTGCTTGTTCAAACAATGGCGACCCGCGGCACCCGAAAAAAGATCGATTCCGAGCGTGGGGTCCTCGTAGCCCCAAAGGTTCGAACCTCGAAGAACGATTCTCTCTCGCCAAATATGTCCGTCTCTCTCTCTCTCTCTCTCTCTCTCTCTCTCTCTCTCTCTCTCTCTCTCTCTCTCTTCTCTCTGTCTCGAGAAGATTTTCCGAAATAACGATTTCTTCGATTTTCGTCATACACATATTATACGCAATACACATACGATACATGGTTGACCGCCGATTTTCTTCGCCGAATTCGCGCGAGATTAGGAATTGATTCGGTTCGTTGTAGTTCAGTCTTAACATTTGTCTTTCAATGCGATTCGCTTGTTTTCTCGGGGCGGAACTATATATATATATATATATAGTCTCGACACAGTGTGCAACCACGTTCGATCTCGCTTTTGAAGCTACGGGCTACGTGCGAAGTATTGGAACTTGTAGCCTTATTGGCTGGAAGTTGGCGCGACGATGTTTTTAAGCGCCTCCCAAAGCCGTGGGAGCAGGTTGCGGGCTGAAGGTTTGCGAACTAGTCAATCCTTTGAGAGATGAATTACTTCGGCATCCTTGCCGCGTGAGCGGCGCGAAATTGTTATCTGCATCTAAAGTTTCCTTTACGTCACACACGTGACGCGATATACTATCTCGCGTGAAACTTGAACCTGCGGTCGACCGGCCGAGCACTTAGCGCCGGTGCCGAGCGCGGTAACGGCGCGGATTTAAATAATTGCGCGAGATAACGTCGCGCATGCTTCTAACGCGCCGTTTGGGTACTTGACGTGTGTTGAGCGAAAGACGGAGGGGAGATTGAACTTGTTTGTCGCGAGCCAGCAGTCGCGTCTCTCTGTTTCTGATCTCAACATTAAGAAGAGCCTGTAGTTTCGCGACTCTATAAACAGGAGATCTTTTTGACGACGTAAACTACATGTGCGTGTATCTCTCAAAAGATTGACACGCGCGCGATACAGGATAGCTGAACGACACTTGTCGAGTCGAAGGTACAAGAATATATTTCGCTCCGGCTTCAAATGCACGAAATTGAAGCCTTCGAGTTTCGAATTCCTCAGTTTGTGATCACACCACTCTGGCCCAAGTGCAGGTCGACCGGGATTTCGGAGTTTTATGCCAGAAGAAAAGCGCTTAATTCTCTGACCATTCGATCATCTTGACGAGTTCCGTAATAAAAGGCGGGCACAGATCCTGCCCTTCCCTTCTTTCCTTCTTTCTTCATAGATATAAAAGATCGCAGAGCGACGAGCGAATGTAGGAAGGCATCTTCGAGACGATCGTTAACGCGCGACGATTCCTCGGGAGAGACGCGTTGTCCTCGAGGAAATTCATGTATTTTTTTTTAAATGACTACAAACACCGAGTTGCTTCCGTCACTACGAGGAAAAATGACGACAGATATGTGTGTGAGAAGTGACGGGGAAAGCATAAAGTAACGTGTGCGCACCTAAGCGACCGTTTTCTCTCTTCCTCCCTCTCCCTCCTTTCTCTCGTTCTTTCTCACTCTCTCACTCTCACTTTTTCTCTCTTGCGCATTTTTCACTCATTCACTCATCCTCTCTTTTATTCATCTTCTCTCTTTCTTTCTTCTGTTAATGGTCTTGCGTCTACAATGTATTCCCTACGTTAACGCGTGGTCGGACTTCCTCTCGTTCACGCGAAAGTCCTGGCAGTGTTGGCTGTGTAAGTTACACTTGGTTAATTAAATTCGCTCATTGGCAGGCGCACTTTTCGCGCACGAGAGCGTGTTGCGACTTCCTCGCACGAAAATCGTTCCACCGGACGATTGTTAAGAGAAGGTTGAGTAAAATGAGAGAAAATGAGAGAGAAAAGGAAAGTGACTGGAAATTAGAAATTGATAAAGAAATTAAGGCTGGAATTATCGTAAAAAATATCCAATTTTTTTTTCTCAATGTAAAAAGATAGAATGGGAACATATCGCATTTCCGGTTCCATACTTTCTTCGCGAAACTCGCGGAAAATCGAGTCACAAACGTATTAGCGATTCAATTTCTAAAAGCAAATTCCTACTAAATTGCTCATTAAAATCAGGGATGCAGCATTTTTTAAACAGTGCTCACTTCTGACATAGTACCCATTGCAATTTCTCGTGTTGAGAACGTAACAGAGATGCTTTGTACTTTGAGCTTCGCAAAGGAAAGCGAAGAACGAGTAATAATCATGAGAATATCGAGGAACGCTTTCGTATCATGTTCCCGTTATTTTTTCAACAAACACTACTTTGTGTATTTCGATCTTTGATCTACAGGGAGAAGAACGATCCGGAGGGAAGGACGAAGAGAAATAACGTCCTTCGAAGAAGCAGTTAGTCAACTCCGCGACTTGTTTGTACTTTCTTCAGCACCGAAAGGCGGCGTATCGAGAGGATATCTCGGAGACTCGGAGGAAAGCGTCGGCATCTGTACGTATAAAGCAAAAGAACGAGGCTTTTTTTCTTCCTCTCTTTCTCTCTCTTTCTCTACAAGTCGCAATCGACATTCTCGGAACGGAAATCGCAACGTTGGCGTGCGCGCGCGCGCGAGCGACTGAACGCAAAAGTCGCACTGGGAAACTACAAAGTCTCGATTTGCTGTTTTTCCTTTTATTGTTGTGAAAGAAACTTTTTCTCGTGGAAGACTAACAACGTCTAACGAAGGATACACGTGTGTACGCGCGAACACGCGAGTCATACGCGTCGCGCGTTCGAGAGGGTAGAATACATGCTGCAAACGAAAAAGATCCCATGCGCTGAATCCTCGAGAGGAAAGAAACGGGACGTAACGCTCTCGACTGCAACTGTTTAGCGCGGAGTCGCACTCGTTGTCCTGTTTTAAGCGTCAAAGTATTGAACCGCTCGACCGATCCTTCGAGAATTGCGCCTCACTCGAATCGTCATGTAGTTGCAGCCTTCCCGCGAACTGACATCGTTAAAATTATACAGAATTATGCAAAGCTCTCCTCTTGTCTCTCAAACCGGCCGATGTATCCCTTCATCGTTCATTACATTTCCTTCTTCTCCCTCAACATATAGACTTTTTAATTTGTAGCGTTTCATTACGCGGACCGCACTTTCCCCGCGCATGCCGCATTCGATATTAATATGAGGATTTTGACATTCGTTCGGATATAAAATTATCCAGATATTCGATCGATCGTTCGGACAGCTGAAAAATGCGAAACAGACCTCATCTTCGGATTATCCGGGGATTCGCATTTTTCAGGACACTCAAATAATCGAGAACTCAAATCCGAATTCGAGTTCGCAGCGACCCGGATATTCCTCGTGAAAATTTGACGACCGACAAATCGAATTAAATTTTTCGACGGCAATTTAATCATTCATCGACCTGACTCAAGCGAACGCGTAACTTCTTCCGGATCCGGATCTCGCCGATTCTCGTTCGAGCTTGAATTCGAATCGCACGGATCATCCGGATCACCAGAATAGCGTGGTTCTGAGTCTTCGAAAACCGATCTCGAATCTATCCGGATAAACGGATATTCGAATACTCGCCGGCAGTCCTAATTAATATCGTCACTCCGCCATCGATAACAAGCTCGATGGTCGTCATGATCGTCGTGTCGTTATTAGATATTTGCGTCGCGCGTCGGTGGGTTAGGTGTGTGTGTGTGTGTTGTGTGTGCGTTCGTCTGCAAAGCGCGGTCGGACGCGTGAACGGTCTCTCTCAGCCGCCCGTGAGTCCCATGAATCCTTTTTCTTCATCCCCCGGATAGAAGCACGATAAATAATTATCACAGTCTGAACTATATGTCTAATCCCTATGCGCCTTTTACTACTTCTTGCGGTACACTGCTTACATGGCTAATCTATACGGTCGCACTTATACTCCAATATTTCCAAAATATTCAGTTCGTCGCTACGAGACTCGTACAATATATATATATAATATATATATATATATATATATATATATATATATATATATATGTATGTATAAGTTGTATACACAAGGTGTCGCAGGCGGCGCGTTGTGTTCCCCCTCGACTGCCGGATGACAGAAGGTAGGGGGAGGGCTGGGCTGGTTGGCGAGAGAGAACAATGCCGCCGAACAATAATTTCAACGATAACTTGGCGGAGCAGTTTTACAACGCGACAGGCAGACGGAATCCGTGAGCCTCGCCTCGCCACGTTCGAATTCTCGGTTCTGTGCTCTGGAGAAACGTCCAAGCGCTACGTTTACGGCGGAGCAGGAGGGAAATATCGGGGAGGGGAGGGGGGCAGCAGCGGGAGCGTGTGCGACGCCCACGACGCCCGATATACATGTTAAAAAGGAAGAGGAGAAAATAATAGTAATAATAATAATAATAATAATAATAATAATAATAATAGTAGTAGTAATAATAATAATATAATAATAATGATGATGATAAAATGCGCTAACAAGCGCGAACGAGAGCGTCGCATTGCTCGTCCCTCACGCCCGCAGAATGTACAGTCGAAGGTAATTGTATTATTTACACATGCCGTGCCGGTCCCGAGTCTCGAAAGAAAAAAAAAAACGAAACAGGGCCCACAACCAAGGCGTAGAACAACGCTCCTTTACAATTAGAAGAAGGTTCCGATCGATTCTTTTTTCTTTTCTTTTATAAAAAAAGAAGGAAGGAACAATGGAAGGGGAAAACAGAAAGAAACACGTTTCTCCCTCCCTTTCTTTCTCGTGCGCTCTCTCTCTCTCTCTCTCTCTCTCTCTCTCTCTCTCTCTCTCTCTCTCTTTCTCGTTCGCTCTCTCTTTCTCTCGCTCGCTCGCTCTCTCGTTCTCTTATTGGTCTGGTAATAAAATAGTACCTCGGAGAGGAGACTCGGCGCGCGGATTGACTCTCAAACGGAGAGAGAACTCCTGCCGCGCGCGCGCGGTCCCCTTTTGTTGCATATTCGTCTCATCGGGACTCATCGCGTGTGTATCCTCTTTATATTTTATTTTATCTTTCTTTTCTTAATTTTCTCTTCATCTCATATGCACCAATATGGTGTACGTCGTTTAGATACTCGGGCCCTTAATTAATACCCGGCCGAGTTTTACCCGTTTTGTCGGACGATCGCACGTCCGTTTTCGATAAGGAGAAACTAGAAACAGTCGGTTCGCCGTTTCGTCGTTCGTCATCGAAGTCGTCTCTCTCTTTTTCTCTCTGTCATTCTCACATCGCATTCGATTCGACCTCGAATCATCGGGAACACGTGGGCAACACGGCGAACGTACGTTACGTGTCTTAGAGAACAAACGGCGGAATCGTGTGTCGATTACTTGAAAAGGCGCATTCTCCAGAGGCCGCGACTGCTTTATAAACGACGTTCTCGCACGGTATCGCGCCGGAGTGAGAACGACCGTGCGGTCCGATTTGATAAAAACTTACGGATACAAGTCGATCGTGACGGACGTAACGACAGTTCGCAGTGTCGACGAGTCGCAGAGACGCGCGCATCTAAGGGCACACCCCTTTTTGTTTATCTCGACTACAAACGCATGGTCTTACGAAGTAGACGGTCTCTCTCTCTCTCTCTCTTTCTTTCTCTCGTTGGTGTCACAGCATTCGCGGAAAACAACGAGCATGGATCCCGGGGGAATCGATCGTGATGAATCATCACGCGTCTCCCGGCGCCTCTCGCGTGTCTCGCTTTTCGCATTAACCCGCCGCAAGGGATCTGTCGGTCGCAAAGGAAGCGTTTTTCACAACTTCGTCGAGCGTCAGAGTCTCCATACATGAAAGCAAGCCGGTGCAGGCAGCGACGGCAACGGTAGTTGCGCATCCTGGCAGACGCATTTAACGCGTCATATAACACGTGCACTCTTTATGCTACGCGTACGCGTACACATAGATACATACACACACGGCTCTTACTTTCTTTATCTTTTTCTCTCTCGCTCGCTAAATCGCTCGCTTTGCTGGGTCCCGCGGGTCGCTTTACTGTCAGGGCCTGACGAGAGGCTTACCTCCGTAGGGAGCGGGGTATTGTCCCGTGAGCAAGGGGTAACCCAAGCCCACGTGGGTGTGATGATGCGTGTGCACGTGCCGTTGCGGCGGTGGTGACCTATTATCCTTGCCGAGAGTCCCGCTGCTGGCGTCCACCGCGCCCTGTGGCTGTTGTTGACCACCCGGCTGACCCTGCTGCTTCCCAGACGGTGGTTGTCCTTGTCCCGGCGGTGGACCCGGGCCCGCTACCGACGTTGGTGGACCACTGGGTGGACGCGCTGGCGTGGGACCCGCTGAGGACGGGCTGGAGGACGCGGCGGACGTCTTGGGTGTGGGTGATTTGAGCGCGCGCTCCTGAAGCTCGTGTATCTTGTGCGCCGAATAATACTGGCTCGCATGGTGCTGGAGCAGCTCCAACGCCTTGCCGCCAGGCGGTCGACTGAGGTCCTCCGGCGCGTGATACCTCGGCAGTTGGTGGAGGTAGGGACCACCCGAGTAGGGTGCGGGCATTATCATCGGACTGAGGCCACGGTATACCGGATGACCCGGGTCGAACGGCAACGCGCCGTAGTGCTGCGCCTGCATATAGGTGGGGTGGATGTAAGCGTACTGCGAGGTAGGCGGCGGTGGCGGTCCTTGCGTCTCCATCGTGGGCTTCACGCCCTCCTGCTTGCTCTTGGAGTCTTCGCTCTTGCCGAGGTCCTGCGGTTTCTCCTGCTTCGGCTGGTGCTTCGGGCTGGGCGGCGGCGCCTTCGGCTGTTGGTTCTGCTTGCTGGAGTCGTCCTTCCGCCTTTGCTCCGGGTACATGTAGTACCTCCTGTCGTCCTGAATAGGCCCGGGTGGCGGCGGTGGACCGCCTCGTTGACTCTGCGAGCCGTGGTACACGTGGTACGTGCCCATCTGGTTCTTCAAGTCGAGGCTCTCCTTGAGAATCTGATGATTCTCGTGCTGCTTGTCCTTGAGGCTCGGCTGCGGCTGCGGCTCTTGCTTGATCTTCGCCTTCTGCTCGTGCAGATCCGGCTCCTGCGACTGTTGGCTCTGTTGCTGTTGCTGTTGCTGCTGCTGCTGCGACACCGGCTGCGGCGGCTGGTACGGATAACCCGGTGGCATGTAGCCACCGTAGCCGCTGTAGTAGTGCGGCTGCTGCTGCGGCTGCGGCACCGGCTGACTCAGTTCCTTCTTCTCCTTTTCCGACACGACGCTCTGTAGGCTCGCCATCGAAGGCATCTGCGGTATATTGAGCGGCTTGATCTCCTGCTTGGGCGTGAGGTCGCTCGGCTTCTGATCGACCACCGGTTTGCTTTCCTGCACGGTGGGCACCAGATAAGGTGGCTGACTGTAGTACGGGTACATGCTGAAGTGAGCGGGTAGGTGCGTGGGCGCACTCGTCTTGTTGTCCTTGTCTTGGTTCTGCTTCGACTTGTCAGCCGACTCGGCTTCGAGCACCGGAGCGGCGTCGTCCGATATGTCCGAGTAAGCCGGACTCTGTACATCGTCGCGTGCAGAGTCGACGATAGGCGCCTCCAATGGCGAAGGATGCGGGCTACCGCCGGGCGACTTCCGCGATTTCTTCTTGTAGCCCTGCGGCTTCGGTGTGCGCGCGTCATTCTTGCTTTTATCCTGCTCCGGCATGAGCGCCGCGGTGGGCTTCACCTTGAACTGCGGCATCTTCGCCGTGTGCAGCGACACGCTTTGATACTGCTGCAAATGCGACTGCACGCTCTGAACCGGGTGACCCGGCGGTGGCGGCGGTGCCACTTGTAGACTCGCTTGTTGCGACACTTGACTCGCGAGACTTTGCAGACCCGGATGTTGACTCGCTATACTCTGCAGACTTGCCTGCTGCTGCTGCTGCTGCTGCTGCTGCTGTTGCTGCTGCTGTTGCTGCTGCTGCAGTCCGGACTGTTGCACCACATGCGCTTGCGTCGGCTGACCCAGTTGGGCCGACAGGGGATGCTGCATCGGCTGCAGCTGATGCGCCGGCGGCAGTTGCTGTTGTACCGATGACTGCAGTTGCTGCTGTTGTTGGCTAGGCTGCAGCTGTTGCGGCGCTTGGCCCACCTGCAGCGACTGTTGCGCCTGTTGCAGCAGCGGATTCTGCGGCTGATGCTGCTGCACCTGCGAAGGCTGCGGTGGTTGCGGTATGTTGATGGGCTGAGGGATATTCGTGATCGGATGTGGCGACGGTATGGGCCTGGGAGACTGACTGGTGTGCGGACTCGGACTCTGCGGCGGGTTCGACGAGTTTAACGACTGGCTTTGTTGTTGCTGCTGCTGCTGCTGCTGCTGCTGCTGCTGTTGCTGCTGTTGCTGCAACGACTGCTGCTGCTGCTGCACCGAAGTTTGCCTCGACGAAGGTGGCGCCACAGGACTCGGCGCCGGCAGGTCGTCTTGACCGAACCTCAGTACACCCGGCTTCACGATGCTCTTGTCCGCGAGCACAGTCGGCGTAGGAGGTTCTATACTCGGTGACGGTACTCTGGGAGGTGGCGGTGGTGTCTCCGGTGGCAGACTAGTCGCCGGCGGACTCGCCGCGCGTACTGGTGTGCCCTCCGGCTTGTCCGCCGGTGATTTCACCGGCGTCGCCGGACTCGGAGCCTCGATGTTGCTCTCGTCGTTCTCGGACATGCTGGTGATGCCCTCCTTCGTGTCGTCGTCGTCCGCGGAGCCGTGGGCGTGACTCTGGTGGTACTTGAGCCCGTTGATGTGTTTGTACTTCTTGCTGCAGTTCGGCTCCGGGCACTCGAGCAACACCGGGCTCGCCGGCGGCGAGCCGCTCGGCGGAGTAGGTGGCGGCGCCCGTCGTTTGTTCTTCTCCTCCTCTTCGGGGCCGCGAGATTTGCGCTTCGCCGCTGGGTCCGGACGCGGTGGCACGAAGGCCGCCGGACTCGGACTGGCGGCAGGCGAACCCTGCGCACCCCTGCGACCTTTGCCGCCGTTGCGCAGTTTACTGTGCACCGAGCTCCTGGTCTCCGTGAAGTTGCTCAGGTCGTTACCGGGTGTGGAATTGGCGGCCGCACGACCCCGCTTGCCGCGGCCTTTCGGCGTGCGAGCGTCCAGGTCGCTCGTAGGCGAGTCGCAGAACCTGGGTGGCGCCCAGTCGTGGCGGGTACAATCCAGGAGCGTCCCGACGTACGTCTTGCCGCGCCACGTCACGTTCACCACTAATACGCCTGCAACAAAAAGAGAACGTCCCAAATAGTAACGATCGGTAATGAGACGCGACCGCAAGCGCTCCGTGCTGCCGCCGTCATTGGAGCTCGGCTATGGGTTTTCTATACCCGGGACTGACCGCACCCGGCTGACAAACAGTCAGTTGCGATGCGTTTGTTCATTCTCATTCTCGGCTCGGCTCATTACGGCTCGGAAAATCGATTATCTGAAAATCGATCGATCGATTTCTTCAGTATTTTTTTTCGGTATATTTCTGTCTCTTTTTTATCGGTTTGATGAACGAATGGTAAGAAGATTGAATTTTTTTTCGGTGTGTGTCGGTGTCAAGAAGCTTTTAGCAAAAGAGAGTAAGAGAGGGGGAGTGAGGGGAAAAAGAAATGTACAGTGCAATATTCGCGACGACATATGTGTCGCAACTCTGAATCTACCGGATACTTTAGCGAAAATTTGACGAATCTGCCGTGCAATTCGAGCGCTACCTGTTATCGTTGGAAAAATTGACAATCAAGATAGAAGTCTGAGATAACCGAAAGAGGTTACCAGTTACACAGATACCCGATACTGACTACGCGCTTCGCTAATCGCATTCCGACTCTGTTGGTCTTTCGAGCCGACCATCTCTCTCCTGCTGCTTCTTTTCCTCCTGCCGCGAAGGAGACGCGTCTAGCTCGCGAGAGCGAGCTCGATGACTCGAGAACCTGTTTGCAAGGAATTTCGATTGCACGAGAGACGCAGCGAAGTTGGTGGTATTGGTTGGGGATAGGAGGGGCGGGTGCAGTGTCTATTGCTGCTTATTAATCCCAAAGGTTACTCCTCCGGATTAACTTGAATTTCTTACGTAACCGTTCGTAATCTCCGTCGTGTACAACCTTGTTCTCGCTTTCACGAGATAAGGCGAGATAAAGGACGAGATCGGCCGACGATGGACGCAAGGGGAGCCGCGCGATCGCGGATCGTTGACGCGGACGGCGCGACGCGCAAAGCCGCTGATAGGAAAAACCGGTCTCTGAGATACGAGCGCGGCTGCCGAGGCCCGAGACGTTTCAGCGAGTAATAGGCTCTTCGTGGCAACGTATGAAGAATTACTCGCGCGTTATTCTCTTTCTCTCTTCCTTCTTCCCCCCTTCTCTCTCTCTCTCTCTCTCTCTCTCTCTCTCTCTCTCTCTCTCTCTCTTTCGTCTACCCTCTGCTCCTTCTGCATTCTCGTTCTTCGTTCTTGCGCGATCAACGCCGCTAATTGAAAATACGCGGTCCCGAGAGCGCGGCCGTCTCGCACACGTGCAAGAAGAAAATACGGTGTTTCGCAGGTGATCCCGAGGATGATGCTGCAGGTGTTCGCCGCACCGTGCGGAACTCCCGTGTTCCACGGAGCGCAGCTAAATTACTTTCGCGTTCGCGTAATGGGAAGAGCCGACGCGACGTAAATCGAATCGCCTCTACGGGGCGCCGCGTCAGATTTAAATGTCAAAGCCTCGCAGAGGAGCGCGGAGTTTGCATGTGCAAAGTAGTCGACGTGATCTGCGGACGTGGGAGAAAGCCTCGCGTAAACGACGTGACTCTCTAGGACCGCTCGATTTTTCGCGCGACGAGCGTGTTTTCATTGTACCGGCTTCGACGACGAGGGACTTGTTTGGGAGGCCCTCCTTGGAGATGATATTTGCGATAGTATAGTGGATGCGCGTCAGCGCATAGTTGGTCGTGAATAAGATAACGTTGAATTTACACGATAAGGTTACAAGAGAATCGCTGGGCACAACATGTCGGGCTTTGCGCTGCGAATTTTGATGCTACTGATAGTCGTCGCGCGCTCATCCAGCCGTTTTTTCCGGTTAGGACAGAGAAGATCCGCTAAGAAACTCCAGAACAGCTCCAAATCTACAATCTATTTTTAGAAAATAGATATCGAGATTTATTTAACATTCTAATTATCTCAACATTTCAGCCGCATTTAATTTCTGCTTTTAACTTCAGTCAGTAATTCGTTGATGACTTCATTAATGTAACGCACTTAACACAGCCAACTGCAGATAAATAATGGGACTAGTGGGGAAACATAAGAAGACAAACTTTTTGTTCCCGTAACTAGTTTATCACTCTACTGACGTTGGAAATTTCGACAAGATATGGATATTTAGGTGAGATCGAAAGAAAAATACTGTAAAGGCTTTTATGCGCTCATAGATTTTTGTCTCGTTATTTTACCAAATTCAAGCTAAAATTGCGGCTGAGAATTATTGGACCAACAAGTACTCTTAGAAGGGCAAGAGGCTCCTCCCTCTTCGCTCGTTTTGTGAATCACCAAATCCTACCGAAACCTCCAACGCTACTAAACAAGAAAAAATAAATAGATTAATTGGCTCATTAGTCCTATCATTCAACCATATTGATTATTTAATATTTGCTCATCTCTCGCAAATATTATCGAAATAATCGAATGATAAATTATTCACGGAAATAAGTCTTTCCTTCAGCCTTGATACGAAAAAGAAACGACGAGATAAAAGTCTAAAACGATATAGAAGAGAAAAACGGCAGTAGATAAGCATTCGCAGCATCGAAGTAGGGCAATAGCAGCGCTTAGTCCCGAGATTCTCCATTGATCCTTTCAGTTCAACGGAATTTGCAGGGTCAATGTAGAGTCAGGATTTCGACTCGGGAAGGGTTTTCATCGGAGCGATTAGTCCTCCCTCGTCGGAGCGCAATCTCCTCGCCGAGAAGGCGGGGAGGGAGGGGAGACGTATCGTTTCAAAAATAAATATCTCCGTCGGAGAATCAGAAGGATCAGAGGGGGGGGAAGTGGATAGCCGTAACGAAGCTCGTGCTTTGCGTCTGCGGGCTCTCCCTTCGCGAACCGATGTGAATCGAGCGACCGAAATAAAGCAGCGAGCGCGGCGGTCGGGGGAGAAAATAGAGGCGGACAAAGAGGACAATAAAAACACCGGAAGTTTCAAGGCGACCAAGTCCCTAAAAGCCACATGACACCGTGTTTCTCCTCCATCTGTCAGATACATCGCGTTTTCTTCTCCTATCTTCTCTCCCTTCGTCTCTCTCCCCTTTCTCTCTCTCTTTCTCTCTTTGCTCTTGTCTTGAGAACGAAACGAGATGTCTCGTTTTTTTTCCTTCTCACCCCGCGGCATGCCCTCATCCTTTCGCCCTTTCTCCACCTCTCTGTCTCCCTTTCTCTCTCCGCGTTCTCCTTTCTCTCTCGCCACGCGAGAAACCTCGGGGCATTTTGGTTGATTGAGTCGTCCCCTCGCGTCGACGTCATTCCCATTTACCGCGAAAGATAAACGTATGGGCGAGAGTACCGACGCGAGGGATGATGATGAATCCGTGCATCTCACCCTCGTCACGCGCCTTTTCATCCCGTCCGTTTCCGCGCCCCGTTCCCCTCCCCCGTTATACTTTCACCCTTTTTTTCCCCACTCTTTTCACGTGGGCCCTGACGGCGGCCGAGTGCCGGGTAAGTGACTAATTAGCCGCTAATAACCCGGAGAGACGTCACTCGGTCTCACGTCGATGAGCGTTTCGCTTTGAGCGCCGAGGCTCTCGGATCGCGCGTAAAAATGAGCGTGCCGCCACACGACGCCGCGAAGGGACTTTCCGCAAGAAGCAGACGAGGTTTATCGGCGAACGCTCGTTTTCACGTAGCTTTTCCATTACAATCGCGTCGACAGTACACCGTCTCTGCTGGTCGTCTACTTAACTTTCCAACCGGACGGATTACACACACAATTCCACCAATTTTCACATCCTGAAATTTCTTATTACGCAGCGATTTTTATCTTCTGCTCTGGCTCGGATCGGGGTTTTCACGACCGAGTAATCTCGCGGACTTGGATCTTGTCGCTGATCGTTTTTCCTTTTTTCCGAAACGCAAATATGAGTAACAATTGAGATGTGAATATTTTCCTTCGCGATATTCTATTCTGAGCGCGCTTCCTCGCAACTTCGCAAACGAATCCATCTTCGATGCATTCGCGGACTTCCGCGGACTCGCGGCCGGATCTTTGGAGGTAACCGAATCTCCCACGACGAAGAGATTGCGGTCGGCTAGTGAAGAACGTGAAAAGTCACATCCAACGTTATTTGTCCTCGCTCGCTCGTTCACGGTCAAACGGACGACGACGTCGCGCCGTCGAGTTTCCTCTTCCTGAAAGCCGCTGGACGATAAAGGGAATCTTTGCTCGGAACGGGAGATTTGCGGCCACGACTGAAGAAAGCTGGACCGACGAGCGCGGTCAGATGAGAACGCGAGGAAGAAGCTTGCAGCTTCTCGTTCCGCGCAAAACGACGAGTTAATATTTCTCTCGGCCGATACCGTCGGGATTATCGCGATATCTCGGGCTTTCCGGAGTTCTCTCTCTCTCTCTCTCTCTCTCTCTCTCTCTCTCTTTCTCTCTCTGTCTCTCGCTCTCTTTTTCTCTTGTTGTCTCCTTCGTTTCTACCAACCGTCACGCGGAATCACGCCGACAGCGACGTAATTCGCTCGCCGAGTGATGATGACGTCGCGACCGCGAGAATGTCGCTCCGAGCTTCGAAAGATTGCATTTTCGGACGCAACGAGCTGATTTCACCTCGCGAATTTCACCGACGAGAACTCGTCAGCCGGGTTGGCAGTGATCTTTCGCGAGATTCGAGCAAGGTGGACCGTCGTCATTCTCGTCGTCGTCGCCGTCTCATTTATCGACATATCGAGGTGAGAAATGTCCCTAGCATCGAGAGCGTACGTGATATCCCGCGACTAACTCGACTTTGATACATCGCCCGGCGAGCACGAAGAAAACAGAAATAACAATGCCGCCGGTTGGGGTTATTTGTCAGACGAGACATCGCGCGCGCCGACGATCGTGTGCAAAACGGGGAGAATAATCATTTTACGATGCGACAGTGGCGCGCGCAGCTCGCTTTGCGAATCGACCGTCATGTAACGCATATGTACGTGTGTGTATGTGTGTGTGTGTGTGTGTGTGTGTGTGTGTGTGTATATATATATATATCG